TAATAACGAAAGAAACCGGTAAGTTTCTAATCATGTAAATGTTCGGCCGAACGTTTGCATTCATTTTAGACTAGTGACGAAAATCAACAATCGTTTGCCAGTTTGGTTTGCAAAATCGACAAAAAATAGTCCATTCCCCATGGCCATGATATTAGAATTCTGCCCGTTGAAATCGGCCACTCTGATTTTTATCATTGAACTTCACATTGATGACATGTTCATTCTCTACAGGTTATGCTGCGAGGGCGTTTACCTCGATAGATGTTGAAAATGCCCACAGCATTATAAATCATTTGGACCGCCGAGGGGTCCAAAACTCCTCAATCGAAGAGCTTAGTAGACATGCCAGCAACCTACAGAGACTTCAAATTCTCAGGAAACCTCTCTAGGACGGTAATACATTAACTTGTTTAGTTAATAAATTTAATAAGTAGATTTTGAGTGATGATTACTGAATACAGATATCGAGCCTCGAGGTACCATAAAAAGGGTATATAAACTTATCACTTATGCTTATATGCTTATACTATCAATGAATATCAAATCGCCTTCTCTAGTTATCAAACCCAACATAAGTTAAATCTCTGCCTACAAGGACTATTTGATATTTACAACAGACCGAGTGAATGTCTCAATCTTTTCAGGAAGCTTTATACTCCGACATCCACAATTTACCACGCCCCTGAGATCGACAAAGGTCTTTCTGATAGATTGACTTCCAGCCAATTCGATCTATCGAAGCCGAGTGGGAAGAACAAAGAACTGAAACCCCATGGTCGCAACGATGCTCCTCGCGGACAAGGGAGAGTTAGGGCCATCGGTGGTCACAAGACTGGATAATATTTATTTTTTAAGCGTTGAGGTTGTCACGAAAGCGTACTGTAACGGGACTATCAGATTTGAGTGATTTGATTTTGTGATTTGCAGTTCACGTGATTTTATTGTGATTTTAGACTGTAAAAACTATAAAGGTTCAAGTTGAACTATCGTCGCCATGATTATGTATTTTGGAACTGTTCACGTTGAAATTGCTTCGTTAATCAGCAGTCTTCCTTGGTTACTTTCTACTGTGTAATGCAGCTACGATCAACGATACTTAGCTAGTACATTCATAGTAACACTAACTGCACTGAGAAGAGTAAAAAATTTGAGCTTTGACGGAATAACATTTCCTTGTTTTTAGATACGGTTACTACTCTAGTGAGGGGTTCATAGCTGATCATTAAGGTCTTACTCACAATAATTTGTGCTCTGATATTGGCCGTACTGACGGCTGTTGAAAAAGCCACTCCGTCAGATGCGCGCCGCAAGAGTCCACCCCTGTAGACCCCACTACGTACAAAATTTGAAATTTTCCCAAAAACTTCTGATTAAGCTAGTTTGTTTTCAATAACTTTTGCAATATTTACAGTAGACCCTTCAAATTTTCACCAAATGTTACTCCAGACATTTCTGCATGGTAACTGTGTCATAGAATTTTAATTTAGGGACCCAATTTTGTGCAACACTCCGGTATCTGACGACCGGTCGCAGACGTGGTTATTGTATTGTCAACTTCTATTGCACACTGAGCGAGCTATATTTTGAGTACAAAGATAAACTTTACACCAGGTGAAAGCTGAGACGTTTCTCTTTAAGATGATCACCTCACATTCTGTGTATCTGTGACATTGAGATAGTAACGAATCAAAACGTCAAGTTGAACAGGCTACAAAATACGCGCTGAATAAAAGTCCACCCCAGGAGTCCACCCCACGCGCGTAGGGTGCTTAAGCTTATTAGGGGAGGGGGGACTGTTAGTGTTTGGGGTCTGTTTGGACTGCAGAGAGAGAGAGAGAGAGAGAGAGTTCATACGACAATGTTATGCGTGTTTTCAAATATAATATGCGGGTGTGGTGCGGAGTTAACAAGGGTTAATTTCTATAACGATTTAAATAAAAATAGAAAGCGGTTCAAGACGGGAGTGATGAGGTGTAATACTCGGTGTTCAGACCTTATGATCATGGAGTGTGGTGCCTCATGGCTAATAATGACTTAATTATCCACAAGAAATAACTGATTATGAGATTATTGTTTAAGAAACTATTGGGTCACCTAATGCGGGTTTTGACTCAGCGGGTAATTACTCCTACCCTTTTTAACTGCGGCAGTGAAATCCCGGCCGTAGGCCGGGTTACACTAGTAATAATCATAATATAATTCAAATTATGTATCTTTGATCAATTTGATTCTTGCCATTAAACTGTTATCAGTACATCAATGCTTCTTTGTGTACTTGATGAGGTCTCCTCAATCATTTGAGTGACCTGCACCAATGAACCCCCGTTTGTGCCGTATAATCATTTCTCTCCAGTGCTTGCAGTCAACACCGTCGCTCTGTCCAGATCTATCTACCCCAGCAGTAAAGCAATCTATTCAAGTACTGTCTCTGTACTTAATGAGGTCTCCTCAATCATTTGAGTGACCTGCATCAATGAACCCCCATTTGTGTCGTTCATCTCTCTCCAGTGCTTGCAGTCAACACCGTCGCTCTGTCCAGATCTATCTACACCAGCAGTAAAGCAATCTATTCAAGTACTGTCTCTGTACTTAATGAGGTCTCCTCAATCATTTGAGTGACCTGCACCAATGAACTCCCGTTTGTGCCGTATAATCATCTCTCTCCATTGCTTGCAGTCAACACCGTCGCTCTGTCCAGATCTATCTACCCCAGCAGTAAAGCAATCTATTCAAGTACTGTCGCTGTACATTTAAACATCTTTAACATATTATATATTGAGGTGATCAATGGTCACGTGACTACTCAATACTCATGATTGTAACCTTACAATACAACACTCCAACCCTATTGCTTACACATACATTGTCTTTAACTTTATGTTGATTCGCACCAGTTGTGTGTGTTTTCCTTCGTGTACATGTGTAAATACAATTTTAAATGCTTTGTTCCATTATGACATAGATTAATTGTGGTTAGATTTCATTAATTTGGGTTTTCCCGTTCAGGACTTCTAATGGTGCATGAAAGAATGTCGTCAGCTGAGAGTTCGTATCATGAAGATTCGAAACTTATGTTACCGGCAACAACCACAGCAAAGTGGACGAAGAGCGACATTCTCCTTATCACACTCGGGTCATTTATAAAGTTTGGTGATGCTGCGGAGATATACCTTCCTGGGGTTATGACACAAATAATATCATGTGAACTTGGCTTATCTTCCACCCAAGAGGGTGTTCTTGGGATGATTCTCTTCCTCTTTTTAGCTGTGTCTTGCCTGGTTTCAGTTCCTCTTGTTAAATGGTTGGGGGAACGACGGACAATATTACTGTCGATGTATTTATCGATCCTGTGTTCATGTTTTTGCGCTGGAGTTCCAACATTCTTCAACCTGGTCATTGCCAGGGCTTTAATAGGACTTTGTGTTGGTCTCAACTCTTCAACGATTGGGGTTTTCATCAGAAAAAGGGTATCCTCTGAAGACAATATAACTCCCAGCATGTTTATACACGGCAGTGTAACTTTTCCACTCGGAGCAGCCTATGTATCTATCATAGGCTACTTCCTGCTAGATTTGCTTGGTTGGAGATTTTTTCTTCTAGTTGTTTCCCTCCCTTTGTTCATTCCGCCTATAATTATGTTGCATTTCTCTTTTAAAAATGATACATCTACAGAGAGGACGTATGTAGAGTTCAACGAAGGGCAAAACTACAAAGAAGTGCACAGTTTCGAAGAAAGAGCTATCAAGTTATGTATCTTCCAAGGATTTAGCAAGTTGGCTGGATATGGTAGCATATTACTTCTTCCAGCCCTGATAAGGAGATACAAGATACTGGACTCTCCTCAAAATGATGAAAAGTGTTCGCAGGTAGTGCAAGGGTCCGATTTTCTGATATTAGCAGCTGTCACTGGGGGAGCTGCTTTTTTGGGGAGGCCATTGTGTTACTACCTCAGAAGAATCTGCAAATTTACATGGCTGCAATCATTTGGTGCTGTCAGCATGGGCTTGTGCTATGGTCTGATCCTTGCAAATCCAGGGAAAGTTGCTGAAGCTGTCTTGTTGTGGATTGCAATGCTAGGTTTCTCCATGCAGGAAACAGAGGCTTGGCTCCTCATGTTAGAGCCGCAGTATTTTGGAGGACGTGTCATCCTTGGAGCGGCTGTGGTCATTGCCTCTGGTTACGTAGGTGGAGCAGTAGGGGTCTCTTTTGTCGGTTTTGTGGATCCTCTTCTAGCTACTTCAGTCATTGTCTGTGTTTGTTTATTGCAAGCTTTAGTAATTTTTACAATGGCCGCTGGACTGAAGTACTGATAATTAGCCTTTTAATGAACATTTCTCGGGATTAACAATGATTATTTAAAACTTTATCTTAATTTACTGATCAGATAGGCACTTATTTATTCATTCAGGCATTAACTTATGACCATAACATTATATTATATATGTTATACCTAATAATATCTTTTTGTACAATCGCTCAAATTAAACTTGAATCAAAAGCAGACGAATTAAATTGTATTCCTTGTTCAAAATACCAACCAATCCCACCAATGATATTCCAAAATCGTGTAAAATTCCAAAAATTAAATAGTAGTACGGTTGAAATTATGTTTCCGATATCTGGTCTGGTCAGAGCAGTTACTAGGCAGTTAATTAGCAGTTATTAAGCAGTTACTAAGCAGTTACTAATCAGTTACTGGTTACTGGTCAGAGCAGTTACTAATGACCCAGTCTGATGATAGAAAAAGGGAAGGTAAAAGAAACTGCAGGAAAGACGTTGCTTGCCAAATACATATCAGGACATTAACCTGACCTTACTAACTTTAAGAACAGACCCTGAAAAGAGCGCCACGTTCCGTCACTCGAGAGGAATAAGTTGGAACTATAAAACACGGTGTCTCATGTCAAGCCACAAGTAGAACAAAGTAGATAAAATTGCACCTTTAATCTCAACAACAACAACAAAATTAACACCAACTAACGACAGTAAAACTCAAGATGTCATAAATTAAATTATATTTTACGAATACAGAGCAAATAAGTTAGTAAAATATAAAACACAAATTAGAAAATATAAGTTAGATTATTATCAGCCCATGTTTTTTTTTCCATCTCCTTGACTCAATCTGCACATAATGAGGAGACTTTACAGAATGTGCATGACAAATGATTTTCTATCACGGCTGCTATTTATGTGAATATTATTACGGTGTTATGAGATTAAAGACATAATATTCTTCGTCTCATGCATGTTCTTTACAATCGCAGCTAGGCTAGATTGAGCATCAGGAAGAATTGCAATTAATCTGTATAAATTAAGTGAATGTTTAAAAATGCAGAATTGAGTATAATGAAGTTAAACGATTTAAAACTTAAATATACTTGACTGTCCCGAGGAGGGTGCACTGTGTTTATTAGCAACTATCACGTGTCCGGAGTGTTCGGTATTACCAGATACGGAACTAAAGCCAAGATTCTCGTTTGGTTCCCGGGTCAACTTGTTGCAGGAAATGTATGAAAGTCATCCACCAGACGGCTGACACTGATTAGGAGATTGGGTGAAATTTGATCCTCCAAAACCAGCAAGCGTTATTTAGCCTCTGCGTTATCAAGCTGAAATTGTATTACATTAGAATGGGAGGGATATTGTTTAAAGACTATAATTATATAATTAACTTGCTCTATTTCTGTGAATAACCGTGGTTGAGAATAGCAGAGGCTTAAACGGGGAGGAGTTTTCAAGGCAGTTCCACGAAAGTATGCACTATGTAAACACTAAAAAGGTTTACCGTGCTGCATTATAATAATATTATCTATGTAATTATTATACATTAGACTATGAGTTGAACATGATAAACCTAACCACACCTAGTGCTGGCTTTTGCGTCTAAACTTCTATATAAAATACAGTCGAGTGATCTGCTAGGTAAATGGTAGTTAGTACATAAAGTTAGTATGTAAAGTCAGAACCTAAAAATGTATTAAAAATAAGATATAGGATAAAGAGTTCAGTTCAATTTAGAGAATTGACCAGATTTGAACTGTTGTAAAACTTATAAGCGCACAATAGTGCAACACTAAATTAACTCTAACCTCATATTCTATCCGTTCTTTTGCATTTAAAATTTTACTCTGTAAGTAAACGGATCCAACATTTTTATTCTTGGGGTTCTTCTTATCGTTCATCTGAAAAAGAATAAAGAATAAAGACTGGGAGCTCTAGCTACTCAGATTACTGTTCTGGTAATCTCAGCAGATGTCAGATGACAGCAGACTGAAAGAATTCAGGAACTAGCCCTGAAGGCTGGTTGTGACGTATTCTATATTCTATATCCTTGTTCGTACTGTATAATATTGACATATTATATATGAGAATGTGTAAATTGATTCTCTTATCTGAGGTAAGTACTGGGGTTTTGAAACCACCGTGATAACATTAAACATAATGGTAATATTATTACCATAATGTGGTAATATTATGCAGGTAGGTACAGTCGTCCCAGTCATCATGTTATTAAATTCCAGTTGCAGTGACTTCTATCATATTATATGGAAAGAAAACACTGAGGTGTGTTACTTGCACCATGTTCAATGTGCGAACTGGCGTGTTCCTGTCAAGGAACTTAAAAGGCAGGGTGCAGTATCGCAGGGTAGGTTCTCACATTTGGTATCTTTGGTGCAGTTATGTTCAAGCCAAGTGAACATAACATCATCTTATCACAGTACTAAAATGACTTAACTTTCAACCACTTAGAATTCTTTTTACTATGACTACCAGACAAGTACCTCTAGACTTACCTCTACAAGTTGATCTGTTGCTTCCTGCAGCGCCTCCCTATCATCTATCGCATCCAAGTTAAGTATCTTCTTTGCCTCACTCAAATCCATGTTGCCGAAGTTTGACACGGCTGCAGCCTCCCATTTCTTTGGATCTGTTAAAAAATTCCATGTTAATGTAAACAATAAATAGAGGTTTATTGTAAAATACTTTGGTTCAACACAAAATGTAAAGATGTTTGGCCAATAAAAGAAAATGATACTTACTTTGCTTTGCTGCCAAGTATTCCTCTTGAAATGTCTTTCTAAATGCTCTTGATAGTGATGTTGCTATTTGTTGTATCAAACCGATAGGAATTCTTGACATTGCAACTAAAAATAAGTACTCTTGTCAAATTTCATTAATAAAAATAATAGCAAAGATTGAAGACAAACCATTTATTCACAATCCCAATTTTGTGGCTTAGTAACTTCATTTAAGGTCTTTTGGACTCTCCTAATTGATTTCCTTGTCCTCAGAAGAGCACCTAAATATACAGAATTTTGAATATTCGAATGATTGAAAATAACAACAAAAGCAGCAGTACAGATCATATATTGACAAATTTTGAAACTGCAAGTAGTTTTAGAAAAATTTTATTCAATATGAATCGACGGACATGTTGTAAGAACCAATACAAATTTCTGGTGATTGTAAGAAATTTACTCAATTATACCAAGTTATTTTACCATAATTTTAACTTTTATCATAGACAATCGGGAAGTTGCATACATAATCGAGAAAAGATTGAAGACAACCTATTTATACCCAATCCCAAAATTGGTCTAAAAGAAATTTGTTCATAATAGGGGAAAATCCCATATTTTAGAAAAGTGGCTAAGTAATAGTAGGGTCTTTTGGACTCTTCTAATTGATTTCCCTGTCCCCAGAAGAGCAATCAAACATACAGAATTTTTAATATTCGAATGATTGAAAATAATAAAAAAGCAGCTGTACAGTATGATCATTATATTATTATGAAAAAGTTTGTAAGCAAGCAGTTTTTGGCTACATATTTTATTCGATATGAATCGACGAAAAGAACCAATAAAAATTTCTGGTGACGGTAAGAAATTTACTCAATTATACGTTATGCTACCATCATTTTTTAACTTTTATCATACATAATCGAGAAGTTGCATTAAATGGACAATATAATTAACATCATAACAATTAACATTTTAACCTGATCAATTTGAACAAAACACAATTCCTGCACCTATAGCTATTTTGATAAGATATAATATATAATACAGTTACCAAAACTATTTATAACATACATTTTTGAAAGAGATCTAAAAAGATCAATCACAAACGATATTGCATTTTGGAATATAAAAATTAAAACTGTACCTAGTACAGTGAATAAAAAACACAAACACATAGTTAACAGTTTTTGTATCATTTTAAAAAAAGCTTTTCGGCTGATCTCAAATAATCAGCAAGAAACACTGATCATCACTTTACTACAGCACAGAGAACAATTACAATGCAAGGTCAATCGTCAGTGAAACCATATCATTTCCCAGATGATATAGCCTTCCGTCATACCAAGAATAGATCCACCTATCAAATCAGACACATAGTGTCGACCCATTAGAACTCTGGATGCGATGACAACAGAATAAAACAAAACAGCAGCACTGTAGTATGCAGCATACACATTTTTGTCCAAAAGGCACATTGTCAGGTACCAAAACATTGACATGCGGGTGCAATGACCAGATGGGAAGGAGTATTTGTCTGGTCCATGTGTGAAGAACATGTCTTCATTATCCTGGTATTGAGGTCGAGGTCGCTTGAAAAAGTTCTTAGCAGAGAACTGGCAGAAAACATCAACAAGATGTGCAATTGAGATATTGAGAAAGAACCAGTACCAGTCTGTACAAAATGGCATCATGAGGATACAAAATGTGAGGGATGGCACACCACTACCAAGAATCTCAAACAGGTACAGTATTTTGTCAAGAATCTTGAAAAGAATAGTTTCTTTGTTCAACTTACACATCAATGCTAGCTTCCATGATAGCTCAAAATCGTAATGATTTATTTGGCTTAGCAAAGACTTAGTCTTTTCCGACATTGTTTGACCTGGACAGAGAGTGATTGTTGAACATGCAGATATAATTAGGTGAAGATTTTTGCAAAGATGTTTGGTAAAACATTTAAGATTTTTTGGTAAAACAAAGACATTTCAAACGGGTGACATGAATTCTTAGTTTTACTTTCATAGACACAAAGAATAAAAATGTATCAAATGAATTATGGGCTATATAATATCAATATGGGTATGTTACTTTTCAGGAAAAGCCACAGCTTGTTATTGTCTCCCATAATGTATATCCAAGGAAAAAAAGAAAAGAAAAAAGGGGGGACACCCAACACATAAATAAATAAATAAATAATATGTAGCTGAGATAATAACATGTAGCTGAGACACCTCACAGCAAGTAGACCAAAGTGGCTCTTGGTTGTGAAAGGTGTATTAACTAACCGCCGAAGCGGTGGGTTGGGAGTCCCCCCTGGGATCATTTCGTCCGTAAAATTTTACACAATATATATAAAAACTACAATAAATTATCTATAAAATTTACATAAACAGACTTTAAGAGACCTCATAGCTCGTCTTCTGAGGTATGAGATTGAAGGATACGTCATCCAGTCCAAGGTGCTGAGCTTTTTATTTTCCTCTGATTCCCCTGAGTGCTATGAGTGTGCTTCATAGCAGATCAAACCTGAATCGTGTTCTGATGTGATTTTTTTCCCTGCTCTTGCCGAAGGCAAAAAGATCGTAGGGAACAAGTAATCGGGTTTGGATATATGAGCTATCCCGATGGACCTGCGGTGACGACAAAAGTCTGCTCCTTCGCAATATAGACCACTCCCCTATAATTATGAGTATAGGAAGCGTCTGTTATGCTGCGCGCGAGGCTCGGCATGTGTTAGTTAATTGCAGTATCCAACGCGAATTTCAATTGTCAAACGATGCCGTTCAAATTAAATTAGCCCAAAGTTTGTGCGCCGCATACTAAATATTCGATTATCCTGCACGTGCGTCGTGCGCAATGACAAATTACGATGAAAATATTGCAACTTTTTAACAACAAAATAATCCAATATCTAATTTTTATTAATCGATAAAATTATCTTTTCGTTTAGTTGCAAATGTTAACGGTTTAAGCAGGGAAAATTAATCGTGCGTGGTGTAACCGCGGCGAAATTCTTGTTGACCTGGCTCTTAGCTTCTTTGTTGTGGTCAGCTATCATCTCAGAGATACAATCTACGAACACAGTTCAAAGTGGTCCCATACCTCCAGATGCTGTAAAGACGTAAAGACTAGTGGGATAAAGGACACTTTCTCTTCCTTACAGCCATAGACTAGAAATTCTCAATTTGACAACGCTGGCAGAGCGGCGAATACGTGGGGACCTTATTGAAGCATTTAAGGTTATTAATGGTTTGACCGAGTATGGCTCAGATTTGTTCAAAGTGAGCAGATCTGGTCTTAATCTTGTATCATCCAACAGAAGTTGTAAGAGTATGGCAAAGATTAGGAATCTCCAAAGTTCATTTCTTCCAGAGCGAGTTATTCCTTACTGGAACAAACTTCCTCCAGATGTTAAGAACTCGGTGACTGTTTTAAGTTTTAAGATTAAATTAGACGGGTTTAAGAAAGATGTGATTTCTAAGGATATTTCTATTGATTCACATTTTTGGAATGTTTCAAATGAAGTGTTAGGGAGAATTGAAGGACCTAGCTATGTTAGTAATAAAGAGAAGCATAACGATTATCTTTATTTCCACCCTTTTGTGGCAAAAAAGCAATTCATAAATCTTTATTCCACTGGGAAGTATGAATAGGCTTATCTTTTTGTTAAAAAAAAAAAAAAAGGAAGCAACTCACGGTATCACTCTCATAAGAGACATGTTTCATCATTTACCGGAGTTGCAACCAAATATACACAATAAGGTTTGGTACTTTATCCGTACCTCCCCTTTCATAGAAATAATAGCAAAAATATACACCTATCTTTAAGAAATCAACATCTGTATAAAACATTCGCTCAACCAAAATTAAAACAATTTTCCTGTTAATAATTTAACGGCACTCATAAGAGGTCATACTAGGTATAAGTCCAAATGCTGTGTCAGCAACCGTTTTTGTTACTTTCTTTTCTTCTTGACTCCTCACACCATGAACTGATACCACTATGCTTTTAAGCATAGCAAAGCATATCTTGGTCCTGATGTAGTTGATAACATCTGTGTAGCTCTCCTTTCTCTTCTTTGATATCAATCTAGCAAGACGTTTGTGAAATCTGTCACATTCTGGTGCTGTAGTCCCTGCTGTAGAAAATACTAGAGGAATGAAAGACGCTCTTTCAGTGTTGATGACTCGTGAGTTATACTTAGTTTTTTTTTCTTCCTCATTTCTCTTGTACAACTTGTCCATAGGCTTATCTTTTGGGGATGCTTTTTGAATTTATTTGAAATTTTAAAATAAAGTTGTAGTTAATAATTTATTAATTTTGGTGGTAAGATATTTATATTTTTCCATCATGTGTGATGATGTTATGTCATAATTTATACTTTACTTTACTTTACTTTCTCTGACTGAAGTAGAGATCTTTCTTCATAGAGATTTTTTAAATCTTTCTCATGTGCACTGTAGATATTATCTAGTGGCTTAAACGTATTTGAGTCGCAATTAGGATAAGTGAGCCTGACAAATAATGAAATTAAAGGGACAAAAAATTAACAGGGTGGACCCCCAACCCATGTAGCTGAGACACCTTACAGCAAGTGTACCAAAGTGGCTCTTGCTTGTGAACAGTACATCAACTACCCGCCGAAGCAGTGGGTTGGGAGTCCCCCCCCCTCACAGGAGGAGCTAAGTGCAAAGAAACTGTCACTAACTGCTACAAACTGCCACTAACTGCCACAAACTGCCACTAACTGCCACAAACTGCCACTAACTGCTACAAACTGCCACTAACTGCCACTAACTGCCACTAACTGCTACAATCGCGCCCACGCATTTGCGCGCGACAGTAGCAGTTAGTGGCAGTTAGTGGCAGTTAGTGGCAGTTAGTAGCAGTTAGTGGCAGTTTTTATGCGCGTCGGGATTTCAAATCGAGCGCTCATCAATTTTTATAATAGCAAGTCCGCAGCGTTTAGAGCTGCATTGTTGATTATTGGGCAGCGCTCAGCCTGTCATTCCGCCGAATCTCTATTCATTAATGAACATGATAGCCTGAGGTTCCCAGGTAACATTGTTGACTAAACCAGACTGTGCACGTTGTGCTAGATGTCAAATGTTGCAGATAGCGTATACGAT